ATGTATTTTTTGTAGTATATATTTTATTGTAAATCAAACGTAATTCAGCCTATGGCTGCAAGGTTCTTGATAATAAACTATCTATCTATCTATCTACAACAATCAATTTCATAATGGTTGTGCCAACTCCATCAAGATGAAATTTGTTATATTTAGCCTTTGATTGGCTTAATCGTCATGCATGCCTAAAAGTCGACCAAAACAAAGAGACAAAAAAATATGTCGTTTCCTTTCCAATCGTAAGAGTTGGGGCATTGATCCTTCATTCTGTCTTTTAGGCAGTCTTTCAAAAAAAATGATAATCATTCTACACATTCGTAGCGTTTATGAGCCATATTATAATGTCCTATTTCGTAAGCTTTCGAGCACAAACACACCGTAGCTTTGTTCAAGCAAAACGTAGACCCTGTTTTTGGATATTCCTACTGATGACCTTTAAATCCCGAAATCCCACGTAGTACGCGGGATTTCCCACGTAGTACGCGGGATTTCTGTGTGCAGAAACAAAGCGTTGCTACGCAACAGCTGAACTTTAAAGTTTTTAAGTTTACCGCGTATTATGTAAATTTTCCTAGTATATAAACGATAGTCACATGAATATTCTTTCATTAAACCCCTGAAGAGTGAAGCGATTCACGAAACAGGCTTGTCGGGATATGTAGTTGCGTCGTTTTTTCCTCTCATAATATTTATTCTGCTCTGCTTCAACGTATTGAGCACTGTTCCACGCGAAAATCGACTTGCAGACTTTCTTTATATATATATATATATATATATATATATATATATATATATATATTTAACAAATAGAGAAGCCTTAACTGTGCTCCGTTCTATTATAAAGCACTTAGGAAGCGGCTAGAGCACGAAAGAAGTGTAGGGAGAAACACTCGACTACGTCTCGTGTTTCTCCCCACTTCTTGAGTGCTCGAGCCGCTTCCTAAGTACTTTATTACAGAACAGAGCACAGTCAAGGCTTCTCTGTTTGTTTTATAATAAAGAATCCGTTAAATTCCCTAAGCAAACTCCCAAGCACTACTCTCAATTTAAGAAACAAACTTTATTTCCAAGGCGAACAATAGTGTCGTCAGCATGCTCTATACTCTCATAAAGCACGTTACCGTAAGCCAATCAAAATCCGTGCTATAATAGTTCAAATAATCTGATTGGCTGTACAAGACGAAAGCTGTCAAAAGCGTCAAACCATCAAAGTTCACAATCTGCGATAGTTTACAAACTAGAATAGTTCGGCAGGTCGAATTTAACATTTTTGCCTGAAATTTTTAAGTCTCTGATGCAGAAACTTGAAGTGAAATGTTCCGTGAACTTCAGCCGAATTATGGCTCATAAAAACGCGCGAGTTTTTTCACATTACAAGGTAGAAAACAAACTGTTCAAGGCGAGTGTTTTTTGAATGAACGACAGCCGAATTCACCGGAACATGAAGATCGCTCGGGATGACAGTGCCGCAAAACTCGGCTGCAGTGACTGATGCGACTTTCCACTCAACGCGTCGGAAAGGATATCAAAGCAAGCTCTTATTTTTTCACTCGAAGAGCGGCCGATGTTTCTGAGGCTTGCTTTACTGTGATGAACGGAGATCGCCATGATGGACTTCAGCACGATCATATTCGCTCAGACACCGTCATGATTAGTATGAATTTTTAACAGTTATACCAGTTTGGTTATATTTTTCATCATTTCTGTTTTGTTCTGTTTTGGTTTTGAACACTGAACTTTATATACTATACGAGTGTTAGCTGTGTTTGATTTTCATTACCGTACGTAAGCTTGCAATCTAACCGAGCGTAAACCAATGACAGCGCGCGTTATATCCGAACTTTATTATAATTATATTTAGAGTCTGCTTTCGCCAAAAAAAGTAGGACTTTCGTTGGATTCTGCTTCCCATGGGGATAGGCTGACACTCTCTGCAACTGAATTAATAATCAAAGGCTTTGAATATTTGACATGCTTTGCATTGATCAGTGTTCCTCATAAGCTAAGTTATTCTCCATTTTGACTTTCATACTACCAAATATCAATTTAACTACATGTTAGCAACAAGTACTTGCTTCCCTTAGTTGTTAGCTGCATATTCAGAGGAACGTGTTCCAGCCTTAGTATAATCTAGTTTTGAATTTTTTATTATCAAGGAGTATGTAGGAAAAACAGTATTCTCCTATGGCGATAAGACTAGTTCCACAATTTTTAAACAACAATTCAATTTATATTCTCATAGAGTGGATTGTCATAATGTTGCGTATGGACGAGTCTCTGCGAATAACAAAAACAAAATAGATTAAGGTAATGAAAATGAATGATCAAGCCTTTTCATTTCCTTCGAATCATTCTTTAAATTTTGCCAAAGGTTGGCCGGAAGATAAGCAGGATTCTCTTCCCAGCAATCGTGCATTATCTTGTTACTGCAAACATGAAACTTTCCGTTTCGATGTTAGTAATTTCAAAGGTCTTTAAAAAAATACATTCTTCCAAGCTACATAAGAAGAAAAGGTGGGGAAAGTGCGTCAAAGCACTCGGACTTGGTGATAAATAGTATCAATCACAGGTCAGTGACTGATGGAACCACTACTCTAGTGAAGCTGAAAAAATAAACGGTGGTCAATGGAATATGTGTTATCAACGTAAGAATACCATCCTCATCAGAGAATCGATTTGAAGAAACATACATAAAAAACTTCGTAATGCAGGTCATAAAATACAGATAAAAGGATTGAAAGCCATATAACACGCCCAATTTCCCTACCCACCCCTGTGCTATTGGGTAACACGTACATTCAGTCTCTAAAACCTGATCGGCACATGCGCTTGCTATCTAATGTAATCTCCCAGCATCCTGTAACTCGGTAGAATCACAATCAAACTTCAACTTACAGGTAAGTCTCGTTTAATTTTTAAATTTTCATTTAATGGTTAACATTCCGTAACTGAGAGGCTAAACAAAACTTCTTAGTCCATTTCCCTTTTCGCAATATACTACTATATCTTAGCTGTCATTTAATGTAAGTTTCAAACCACAGGCTACACATAACAAAAATGTCAAATCGCCATTAATGGTGATTTGAATGGATACCCACGGTGGACTTGAATCTTTAAACCCAAATATTTTCTGCATGACATATGATAAACCACTGTAACTAGTTATTTCATATGCATCACCATTTTTATAAAACTGACTCGCGTCCGCGCTACCCATTGACGTCGAGCACCGATTGCCAAACGGGTATTCACTACATGTGATTATAACAGAGCAGAGTGTCTGAAAAAAATGCAATCCATTTCAGGCTAACCTGATTCTTTAGCTCCATTGAATCTTAAGGAATTGAACGACAACATAGGTACAATCAATTGTCATAGGGGTCGATATTCACTGGACACAAATCTTACTTTTTATGAAAACTATGATGTAACATACATTGATTACTCTTGCATCTTCACAAGATCGAACCTGCTACACTCAAGACCACGATTTCATTATAAGGAAATGGCTGACCGGCATATCATAAAATTCTCTAAAGTAAGAACATTTTGAGACAACTGTAAACATGAAGAAATTCTGGTTTAAACAAATGGGATGCATATATTCTCTTATATATTACACCTCTTATTTAAAAGTCACCTTACCGATCAACTCTCTCACCTAAGAGGTGGTAATGCCGTAAGTAACATGCTTATTTACCTTTGTTATTTCGTATGGTATTGTGAACGTATCATTCATATATCTATACCATAGAGGAAATGGATTCCTGGCCAATTGCAACGTCCCCTCCTCGAATATCTCCATGTAGATGAGGGAATTGGAGGAATTTGAAGAGGAGGCAAGACGAAATGCACAAAATTTTTTAATGCTACTAAGAAAAAACAGTCAACCACCCACCTGTACTACAGTAGTACCCATAAAAGCACTCAGCACGCTCACACTCATCATTGCCAGAACAGAAACCCTAAACCGAGTTATTCAATGTGCGATTAAGCTCCAGACTTAGTGGAAATCATCGACTAATTCCCTGACTTTTGTGAATCCCTAATCCCCTCAAAGCCTAGTGTTGCGTTCTGTGAAGATCACCATGTTGCTGAATCATGGCAATGTTGGCCATCGGCCCAGTTGCTTCAAAACAGCGCCACCCATGTCCCTGACAACCGTGAATCCCGATATCTGGCATGACGGATATCAGGAATTATTATACAAAAGAGTGCGAGAATCCCCGAAAATTCAGCGACTTCTACAACATCGATATAAAACGACATTCATTATGCCAGCGTTCGTCGGGTAAGATCGTAGAAATTCATTCTGAACCCTTCTTAGATTTCGCGAAGCTCTCGACATGGTACAGGAAAGAGCATCCAAAAAACGTATTCTACTGAAAAATGCACACTGCTCGCTTGTGGTTGCAGTTTTTATTCGGGGACACGTTTTAACTATTCGGATTACATATTGAAATGCATGCTCACCCACAGTAAATGCAATAACGTAAACAATTTGTCCAGCATTTCTTCAGCTAAAGCTTGTAAGGTTTATCAGCAATAACATTTAACAAAAACCTCATTGTTGCGTATAACATTCAACGACGTAGGCTGAATACCGCTTAAAGTGCGCAGTTATTCTCATTGAATCTTTGTGATAACCATTGACTATTTATCATTAAAATAGGTAATTGTTGCGTATAACATTCAACGACGTAGGCTGAATGCCGCTTAAAGTGCGCAGTTATCCTCATTGAATCTTTGTGATAACCATTGACTACTTATCATTAAAATAGGTAATTGTTCACCTTGACTTCCATACCCAATATCAATTAAAGTACATGTTGGCAACGACTGGCTGCTTTACTACGACTTTATGAGTAGGGTACTTTTTTTTGGTTGTTAGCTTCATAGTTAAGGGGACTTGAATTAGCACTAAGACACAACTAGTTTAAAAAGTCTATTTTCAAAGCGTATGTGGGAGAAACTGTTTCCGCCTATGGTTGAACAAGAGCTTAATCCATGCCTGCATAAAGAATGTTGTCATAATGTTTCATGTTGATGAGCCTCTGCAAGGAAAAAGATAAAAAGAAAATCGATTAAATGGCTTTTACATCAAAAGGTGACTAAGCCTTGTTTGAATTTATGATGTATATATTTCACCTGATGTTGATTTTCCATTTCCTTCAAATCGTTCCTCAGATTCTCAAACATTGGACGATCATCAGGATTCTCTTGCCAGCAGGCTTGCATTATCTTGTAACTAGAATAGAGAAAATAATTTTTCTATGGTCTTACGAAATTTAAAAAGTACTTCACAATATATCCTGCGCAGCTACATAAGTACGAAAGTTGGGATCCCTTACGCTTAAGAAGTTGAAGAAGGTAGTGGTCAATAAATTGATAGCTGTTTTTTTTAGGTCTGGAATACCATTCTCATTTCGAAACAGCTATCGAGGTAATGAAAAAAATTCGAAACCTTACATATTAAGTTCATGAATAATTAAATAAATGAATACATCCATGGCCTTACAGGGTATCGTCCACGTGCCTTGGTTTAGGCATCCTGTAACCCTGAGTCAGTAAATCTGCCATTTTTCGTCCGTGAATCTTTGGATAAGGAGAGCCACCTAAAACGAGAGGTTAAACAGGAAGATAACGAATCGATCGAAAAGTGTGTCATCCATCTAAAATACATTGAAACACAATTATCTGACATAACTATGGTGAAGATTTCGTAAAGGACGATTCCAAAACTCCATCTGAGTAAAGAAAATGCCACCAGGCTTCATTGCAAGTTCACAGATACAGGTATAATTATATCATAGTTCGAAGATTTTTAGATTTGAATTTCTTTTTTTTTATTATTATTATTATTATTATTATTATTCAAAACTGTTTATCAGCTTATTAGATCCACTTACACATCACTTCGCAAGCTGTCCATTTCACCGGCAGTCTTCCCTATTAAAACAAGTTGAAAGGAAATGATGAGGAGAAAGAGCAATGATGCTTCATTTTGTTTATAAACGCAGACTTTCTGATGATGATGAGGTATAAACCATTATTGAGAAACAAAGTGACAGGAGGTTGAGATAGATAGATAACGGTATTACCCAAACACGTAATATATCGACATATTGAAATCAGAAACCTTTGATTTTCTTTCGTAGATGTTTTCCTGGCATACGTCTCTTGCCATTCCAAAATCAGTTACCTTACATCGTTCTCGCTCTCCAACCAAGACGTTCCGGACTGCAAGGTCGCGGTGAATAATCTGTCGAACATCATACAAAGCATTGATGAATAATTAAAAAGCGTCCCACGGAATATCATGTCAATCCTCTTCTGATCATTGATTTCAAGCCGTAGTGGACAGGGGCCGTTTTGAGATGCGAGACTAGACACTTTCCGAGTTGCATCTACGAAAGAACACTTAGTTTTGAAAAAAATAACCTTAAAATGTTATTCTTTTATCAAACGTATATCCCAGTAGAATCTTTCACTGTTTAAATATCATCAACCTATTTTTCCCCCAAATTAAAAAGAAAACGCTTCCCTGAAAATTGGAGAGCTTTCTTGGAAATCTTTTTGTTTTACAAACAGTAACTCAGTTTGCGCTAACGAACAGCGTTTAAAGATTAAACTTTCTTGTTTGCAACAAAACAAAAGTGACTGATGCAATGGATGCTTTTGATCATTTCAAACAAACTAAACCACATAGAAAAGACTCCCCAAAGTACTAAAAAAGTTCATACTTAAGTCACTTGCATCCAAGTATATTTTATCCACATGAAAATTTTAATAAAAATTGAAATGAATAAAGTATCCCTTACATCGACTGACGCCGAGACAGCAAAGTTATTCATATGCTGAAAGCAACTTACATTTTTAGACGACAAATAATGAATACCATCAGCCACTTGCCAGGAAAACTTCATCAGTTGCTGGGAAGTCAAACTCGTCTGTGGCTTAATATCCGGGTCCTTGAAGTAATTATCTTCTAAATGTCGGCTCTTTCTCAAATAGCCCAGGAGATCTCCATACGGAACATACTCGATAAGTACAAGCAAAGGATCTAAAAAGATGTTTTTTTCAAGAAACAGAGCACTCGTCTACATTATCACTTAACAATGATACTTACGGCGATGGAAAAGCGGAAATAATTTGTAATTGTGTCAAGGTTATTCAAATTTTAAACCAGGATCTGCGGTAGACTGGATAGATAAGATTAAGTTAAAGGAATATAAGGGAGCTCCTAGGGATAAAAAGATAAGAACAATCTTTTACCAGGTACGTATGTAACAAACGCCCTTTGTTAATGTTGTTAGGATCATCACTGACGAGATTACGTGTGGCGAGAGAGAAAGAAAGATGAGAATTAAAAGTGTTTAGTTGTCGTAGTGTATAATAATTACTTTAGTTGTCGGAGTGAGAAAAGCACAAATAAACCAAGCAGTTTCAAAAATTTTATTTTCTGCACCTGATTCAGTGACGCATCCCAGCAACCTGATGACGTGAGGATGAGGCTTAAGTTTCTTCATAACTTCAAGTTCTGACAGCAAATCTTTTCTCTCTGTGTCTGTGGCGTTACCTAGAGCATAGGACAACTGTCCAGTAACAGCTAAGCCTTATCTATACTAAAACGCTTTTAAGACAATGAATATAGCACCTTTCAGCATTTTTATGGCAACTGTGATTGTCTCCTCTCTTCCACGAAGGTTTGAAGCTTTTCCTTGGGCGACTTGACCAAAGGCACCTTTTCCAATAACCTTTTCAATTATTACATCTTGTCTTTCCACTTCCCATGAGAGCGTTCCTGGGTGCAGGGGAGCGTATTCGTTTATTTCTAAATAACTTCGCGCTGGGTCCATGGCAGGTTCATTCAGTGATCTAACTTCACCCAGGTCCATGTAATGTTCGGGACCATGATGCACCACAGTGCTAGGGTTCCCATTGAAGTTTTCCAGTTCAATTCCCTCGTTCTGTTTTCAAGAGAAAAGAGACTCACGCTTAGTCTTCCCATACAGATTGGCAACGAGTAAGAAAGAGGTCTCGTATTTCTTAGTGAAGTCTCATGCAAAATTTTATTGGGACCATTCTCCACGGTGCATGGTGTTGTACGCTTTTCCATTTTAATTCACTTGTTTTGCAACCAAAAGAATAAACCACACGCAATCGTAACCTGTCTTATCACAATTGGATAAAAATCTTAAAGAACCCTTGAATACTATGATGTCATCCTATAAGCCTAATGCCCTTTCCTCGAGCACCTGCTAATCAATGCTAAGAAGATTTGAATCGTAAATACAACAGCAATTTCTGGGAATTGTGGTGAAAGGTCGACAAAGCGCATTTCAATGAACCTGATATGTTATAGACTGCTATAAACCCATCTTCCCTGTGTTACTTCCTATGTGTCACCATTTTCAGACAACTGGCTTACGATGTTGAAGTCCCCAGAGGCCTAGAAAGTAGATAGTAATACTCCTAGCCGCTTCATGTTAAGGAAACCGGAGCTAAGCGCCGGCCCCATGGGCCACTTGGGCCTGTATAAAGGCTTTACGTTTTTTACAGAGTAAGTTGTTCGAACAAAATGCATTCTATACTTACAAAGTGGGGCCTACGTGACTCCCTAAGGACTGGATCGAGTCTAAAAGAAAAATAAAACACTATAAAAGTAGTTTCTAGGAAACTGTCTAAACCTTACAAACAAAATATTTGTTTTGTTTGTTTTTGTAAAATATCAACTGACACATATTGGTTTCTCATGCAAAGTAAAAACATCAAATCTGTTACACTCAGTTTTTTTCTCTTACCACTGCGTTTTTATTTCGCTTAATGAAACCAAATAAACTTCTGCTAAGGATAGAAAAGTTTCACACAACTACAACTACGACCAAAGCCTGATCTACAAATCTGATCTACAGATGCTCTATTAACATTTTATGGTAATGACATCTTACCGATCATCTTTTTCAGCTAAGAAGGGTGGAAAGAAGGAAAGAAATTGTATCAGATACAGAAAAAAACAGCTGCGTTTATTTTTTAATATTCAAGAAGTCCTCATCAATTATGCTTCAAGTATTTCCAGTTCCTTCGCTTGCAAGTATTTCCAGTTAGTTGTAGCCGAGTAATGTAATATATTGAACGAAAGTAAACGTAAAGCTGGTAATTGGTGTCATGAATTTAAATACTTTGCGAGATGATTACGCTATGCTGCAAGTTGTCCCACTGATTGCTGTTTTTTCTTTCCTTTCTCCTTCTCAGTCTCTATTCTATTCTTCACTTAAATCTCACTCTGTCAATCGGCCACAAATCATTAAATCTCAGTTACTAGCATCTCAAATCAGAACATTTACCAACCGAATATAGTAATAAACTCTACTCACGTTTGCGGCGTTTCCAGGCAATGAAAATAATAGAAACAGCGAACATAAAGGCAAGGACCCCAATAACTGAGCCATAAATAGCATCCTTATTCACCTTTGCTGGTTCAGATGGAACTGGCCCGGGAACAGTAACTGAATCGTAAATAAATGACTAACATTTCACAGAAGCAATGCCTTTCTTAACTTTTTAGTTGAATTAATACGAGTTAAACTGATTTAAACTTCCTCCCAGAACTTTTCAAATCATATATTTTTACTAGTGGATTGATATTTTCTATTTGATAAGGTTGTTATCTTGAATTTTTTTTCTGAGAAAAGCGTTTCAAGGTTCAAGATCCTAGCCATGAAAGCTGTATTGTGTTTTTTTAATTTTCACTTGGAATTGGAAAGTGGAAATAATATTTGCAACAGTATTTTTAAAAAGATGGATTTTGGTGATATCATATCACCGTCTGCAACACCGAGGTCAGGAGAGGGAATTCTTGTCACTACGCTGAGCATTATTTTATTATAGAAGATGCTGCTGTATATTGTGGCTTTATAGATCTAAAGGTTTAATCGTTTGTCTCACGAGGTTAGTGTCAGGCTAATCAATCGTGTATTGATCGCGACGCTTCGACTGCTCCATTGCTAATCAGGCGACAAGGTTGAAAGTTCACGTGCAATGGGAGGGCGTTCTTTACAAAATCACCAGTAAATGTGGCAAAGAATACATCAGAGGAACAGAGAGACGGAGAATTAAAGAACATGAAAGAGATCTACAGCCTGCTTGTTGTCAGAATTAAGTAGTTTCAGAACACGCCTTTGGAACAGGACCGGTTCCTGTCTGGGACCAGGTTAGACTTTATTGATTATGATTTTTAGTGTTACGCAAATAAGGTTAAAGAAGCCGTCCACATAGGAATTCATCCTAATAACATCAATGGAGACGACGAAATCGAAATTCCTGAAGCATCAATGCTTATGATCAAAAAGCATAACAACAGATCTCTTACAAAGGGGACCTATATGGGAACAACATCTAATAGTCAGAATAATTATGAGTATCGAAATGAACCAATAAGAGCGCGCCATAGCATACCAATAACAACAAACTTAGGTGCCATCGCATACCGAAGACTCATTACAAGGAAGAAAATTTTCACTCGTGAAGAACATGGCAAAAAGGATGATTTGCAATGCAGATTTGTTGACTTGGTATGAAACCATGAACCGATAACAGTAAAGGTACGCTAATAAGGATACGTGTACCGGGCAACTTGAACTACACATGAATGCTTGCTTTCCTTGTTGCATTGCCACACTCGTTGCTGGCTTCACATTTGTATTCACCAGCTTGACTTCTGTTAATGCTTGTAAGCTCCAACATGTAACCACTGTGACGCTGACCATTGGATGTCATCCAAGACACGGCTGGGGGAGGCATTCCAGATACAGGACACAACAGAGTCATATTGTCACCTTCAGTTGCACCCTAATCTTGCAATGCAGGTAGAGATGAAGGCACTGAGGTATGAAACAGAACAAATAATTCTAATGCAGTGTACTTCTAAAGGTGTACTGTTCAACCACAGTCAAGCACACATTTGATAAGTTCTGATCCTATTTCAAATCGTACAAAGTTTACGTCATGATCTAAATTGTAACTGTCTCTTCCCTTAATAACTTCATTTACGAATTTAGTGAATCTAGAAAGTGGGTTTATAAATGTAGTCACCAACTACGTAGGCTTCAGTTGTGCATTATAGATCGATGACGAGAAATATTATCTCTTTGACCATGCTTTGATCCTACGCTCTTAAATAATTGGATATCAATCATTGTTTTTGATCAGCAAAATTTGATTAAGGGACTGTGGTAGCTTTAGTTAAACTGAAATGTATAAAGGTAAGCATTACTGAAAAGGACATGATTTTACGTCGCAGTTTCTCCTTGTTTGATATCAGTTCCATTTGAAAAGGGAAAAGATAGCGTTCAAACGCTTTCCGCTCCTTATTACACCTTATGAATATTTCAGCTCACTTCAAATGAGAGACGTTTCTCAGCTGAGCGATACACTGAAATTATTCAATCTCTTTCCCTTCATCGCCAGCAAGCATACTTTTCAATTTGGCAAATAAAAGTGTTGCACACGTACAGTATCATAAGACTCACTAGACTTTCATGTAGCATAATATGGAATGTGAATGGGGTGACCAAATTTTTTTTCTTTTTTCTTTTTTTTTTATGGCGATAATTTTTTCAATTGGAGCCCTGAATAGGATGGAGTCTAGACAGTCATCAGTTAACAGTTGAAGAAACATGATTGTTTCAACAGAGTAAGAATGTAAAAGCCTTCATAAGACGATACGGCAAAGTGCTGTGATTGCTTTTCACCTAAAGTGGACAGGTGTCGAGTGTTTTTTTTACTTACATGTGACACCTGAATTAAATTATTTCATTATAATGTAAACTACAAGAAACGGTGGAACCAAAATACAATAACAAAAGCAGCCTCACCGACAAAAGTACTCATGTGTCATTGGCACTTGAAGTTAAATACGCAATGCACAACATTACGGGGAAAATGGTATAAAGGCATCGCACCCTACAACAGTATTCATTTACCATATGTAGGCTACTAGCTGTAACAGGTAACGACTACCTTCTTACACTGTACCTTTAACTGTGACATTTACAGTCTTCTCAGCTGTACCAACAGTGTTATTAGCCACACATCTGTAGCTTAAGTCTCCTCCTTTTAAATATTTTCTTATCCAAACCCCCGCTGAGCTTTTTTCACCATAAACTGGTATTTCATTCTCAAACAGTTGATAAGTATGCACCGCAGGTTTGCCAGCTGCTGAGCACGTGATACTGATAACATCACTTTTACAAACAACCGAGTCATTAACCATTAACTTTACATTCTCTGGTTTATCTAAAGAGAGAAAAACAACAATATCTGATCATGCATCTGCATCAGAGCATGTGACGTTGTACATCATGTCGCAAGAGCCCAACATTTTTCTGTCCAGTCCAATTCCATAGGACGACTGATTGCTCCTCCTTTCCTTTCTTTTTTTCTTTTTTTTTTTTTTTCATTCTAGGTTTCAGCTTTTATTTTAATATCATTTATTCACCCTGCATATCACAACACCCTCCTGTATGCTAGGCTGTATGGCTTTTTCAGGCCCTGCTCGCATTATCACAACATATTTCAATAAAAGTACCCACATGACTATACCACTCATACAAAAGCAAATCTTTACTTATATTTTTTTTTTGTGGTTGATTTACACTTTTTTTCCATTTTGGAGTTTTATTTTGCATTATTTTTACGTACTATGACAATCAATCCCACATTCTACGAAAAATAAAAATCAACCACAGGTACAATATACAGTTATCTACTTACAGTTAACTTCTACTTTCACTGTGCGATTTGGTGCAGTTCCCTGCTCGCATTATCACAACATATTTCAATAAAAGTACCCACATGACTATACCACTCATACAAAAGCAAATCTTTACTTCTACTTTCACTGTGCGATTTGGTGCAGGCCCTGCTCGCATTATCACAACATATTTCAATAAAAGTACCCACATGACTATACCACTCATACAAAAGCAAATCTTTCCTTATATTTTATTTTTACGTACTATGACAATCAATCCCACATTCTACGAAAAATAAAAATCAACCACAGGTACAATATACAGTTATCTACTTACAGTTAACTTCTACTTTCACTGTGCGATTTGGTGCAGTTCCCTGCTCGCATTATCACAACATATTTCAATAAAAGTACCCACATGACTATACCACTCATACAAAAGCAAATCTTTACTTCTACTTTCACTGTGCGATTTGGTGCAGGCCCTGCTCGCATTATCACAACATATTTCAATAAAAGTACCCACATGACTATACCACTCATACAAAAGCAAATCTTTACTTATATTTTTTGTTTGTGGTTGATTTACACTTTTTTTCCATTTTGGAGTTTTATTTTGCATTATTTTTACGTACTATGACAATCAATCCCACATTCTACGAAAAATAAAAATCAACCACAGGTACAATATACAGTTATCTACTTACAGTTAACTTCTACTTTCACTGTGCGATTTGGTGCAGTTCCTATTCCATTATATGCTGTACAACGATATTTTCCTCTGTTATTTCTGTTGGTTTCAAGGACAAACTGATTCCCAGTTCCCAGTACACTACTGTCACTGCCATGAGCATATACTTTGGTCCAGGTGATGTTTGGTGTTGGTTCACCATCTGCGATACACTCTAATGTAACACTTGGGTCACCTTCCACAACAACTACATCATTACTAAAGCTGTTGAATTCTGGTGGATCTGTTAAAGAATTAAAGACAAAAAAACAACTTTGCACACTATCCGCGATATACCCCAATATGGCACTTGGGCCACCTTCAACAACAACAACTACATCTCTACTGATTGAATTGAACTCTGGTGGATCTGTTCAGGAGCGACAGCAGTGATAAATTGTCCCAAATTCAAAGTTTGTAAAATTGAACCAATCTTCCCAAAGCTCAGATAATAAAATCATAGTCGAAAATTTTACCAAAAAGTCAAGAAGCTATGCTAACGCATTATTATGTCGTCTGAATGGGCGCCATCCTGAAATATCTGAACAGTTATCGCTTTTAATTCTTGATCTTTGCAATTGTACTAAGAAGAATTCTAGGTTGACTATGATAAAGACAGTACTCCTGTGAGGGTAAAGCAAGCAAAAAGATTTCCTTGAATTCACACTCTCTTTTCTTGAATCTGCTCTTTCAAGCACGATTGAAATTACACAAAAAGAAACAGCTTCCTAAATATTGACGTTTTTCTCATTTGAACACTGTTCCACATCGAATAAAGGGGGTAAGTTTCTAAAGAAACTGTGGTGCTGCTCCGGTGGGAGTATAACAGGGTAATTTAGTGTCTGATCAACTGAGTTGAAAACGTAAATTAGCCTGCGTAAAGAGTTTAAAGGCTTTACGTTAGCCCTTCGGTAGAGCGATTGGAGAAATTGTGGGTTTGGCTTTATATGTAGAAAATGGAGCTACGCTATTGGTGAGAATGTGGTGACGAGGAAACAAGAATAAATTAGTTGAATGAAAAGCGCTCGTTGATACCGTGGGGATCAAGAGTGCCGATCTGGAGGATAAATTTTTGTTCTAGGGTTTTGCGACTTTACGAACTGCCTAGATGTTGGAAAGGTTGCAAACAGCCATATGCTGTTTAGAATGATTAGGGAGATTAAAGTGTCTAGCGACTGATTTGGATGTGTCCTTGTCGTTTATTTCTACGTCGGGAAGGTATTCTCGGAATCGGTAACCTAGTCGTCTTTCTGTTTCATCAATTTATAACTTATTGCAATAAGCGCAAGGTATCTAGTTAATAACATTGGCGGAGGTGCACGTAAAGTTATAAATGATCTTAATGGATCTCTTTTAGTTCAATTGAGTTGGTTGAATGAGCCGGGCGCATTTACTGTTGATCTTGCTAACCAATCAGACCAGCTCTTGTCCATCTTTAGCTGCGGTGATGTGGATACCAAACTTAACACTCTCAATGATGTTGTTGGAAGCACGTTTGTCTTGCATGCTCCCGTCAGAACAACCAGGATTCGCCATCGCCCTTGTCCATTTGTATCAAGAGGTATTAAACAACTCATGAAAACAAGAGACCTACTTCACCGCAATTTTTTTCAGTCTCGCGACCCCTCGGATTGGAGCAAATATAAAGAATTCAGGGATACCATCAAAGAAGTAATGAGAGAAACAGAGCGGAATTATACTTTTCTTGAAGTTAAACAAAACAAGAGCAATCCTAGTTCACTCTGGAAAGTAACCAATCGCGTTATTCCATCAAAGAACAAAGAGCCTCAACGAGTTTACACCAAAGAGGGGCGAGGCTCTGGAACAAAATATCTCCTGAATTAAGACAGTGTGCCTCTCTAAAGGCATTAAAGGAGAAACTTAAGAGTCACATTCTTGCAAACAGTTATTAGTTTTGATATAATTAGTGATATTAATGTAAATAGTCATTAGTTTTTGATATTATTGATCTGATGAAGTTATGTAAATAGATGCTGAAAAGCCCCTTGGGGAGTACCTATTAAAGTTTTCTTCTTTTTCTTTTCTTTTCTCTTGGGTCCCGACAATTCCTCTACGTTATGGGAAAAAGGACAAGTTTTGCATCGTGAAAGAGCGCATTTGAACTTTAAAGTTCCAGATTGGTCATCGGTTTGAAATGAACTTGTGACCAAAAAGTTGCCTATGTTTTCGTAAAGTATGAATGAAATTAGTGGAGATTGCGAAAAGATAGTGTATCAGTGCTATATTCCTAAGCTACCCGGAAAACAGCAGCAGTTTGAAATGTTGTCCAATACACCCAAACTGAGTGCGATGGACGAAGGCCATGAACAACCAGACTCACCGGAAGTCAGTTCGTGAGAGACTTATTAAATATACAGCAAAGTATAAAGTCGCGGATTGGGTGGAAATACATGTAGGCAAACGGCAGGACTCCATCAGATCCTATGGAAACGGGCTGCCGTGGCAAAAGTATATCGGACTCGCCGCGTGTTAGTTCGCGAGAGACTTAGAAAATATACCGTAAAGTAAAGTAATGAAAGGGGTGAAAAATGTCGGAAAACGGACTGCATCGGATCCGATGGAGACGGATTGCCTTGGCAAGAGTCCATCGGCCTCGCCGCGTGTCAGTTCGCGATAGTCTTAGAAAACTTACAGCAAGGTAGAGTAGAGGAGGAGGTGGAAAACGTCGGCTAACGGACTCCATCGAATCCGATGGAGACGGGTCGCCGTGGAAAGAGTCCATCGGACTCGCCACATTTCATTGCGCAAGAGACTTACGGACTTGCTTAGAGAAGGAGGTGGAAAATGTCGGCTAACGGAATCTATCGGATCCGATGGAGATGGGTTGTTTTGACAAGAGCTCATCGGATGCGCCGCGTGTCAGCTTGCGAGACACTTAGAAAATATTATGGCAACGTCGAGCGTGTGGAGGGGCTGGAAAATGTCGGCAAACGGACTCCATCGGAACGACGAATGTTTTTCGCCTCATGGCTTTAAGAACGACCTATATTTCATTGTAGTGCACTTGTTTCGCCTCATGGCTCTACCGGCACGAAAAGTTGATATATAAAGCTTATGATTTGCTTCATTATTATGCATGTCAAAAGGTCAACTTTAAAAAAAAGGAATCGAAAAAAAAAACATATCATCTCCTGTCCGGCTGTAAAAGAAAGGATATTGTTCCTTCACTCTGTCTTTAGGAAGCCTTTCAAAAAATAAGGATAAATTCGGCACATTCGTAGCTTTTTTTGGCCATGTCGTTCAACGTTCCATTCCGTAAGTTTTCAAGCACAAGCGCATCATTTTATTTGAGTAAAATATGCACCCTTCATCTAGACCCGTTCCTGAGTGGCATTCTCAGCCAACAACTCAAAAACGACTTCGCAATTTTCCAGCGCTGGTTATGCCGTAAAATTCAACTCCTCCTCAGATTACAATCTACATATACGGACTTAGATGTTCATGTCATTATGTTCACCCAATGCTTTGACGTCGGTAATACTGATGTTCAGCTATGGAGGGAAAATTCAGTCACTCATTTACTCGGTTTTGATCTGTTAGAGAGTTAATTCATGCATTAAAACTTGGATTTAATGTATTATCGCTGGCTCCCCTACTTGGTTTGCTTATACCATTCAAATACAACATTTGGTAATTTTCCATTTATGCAAAGCAAAGCATTTGTCACTTAAGTCATGCATGCTGATAAATATTTTTTACATATTGTGCTCTCACCGTTTCTCTTTCCAAATCTATAATCATTATCTTTATCTATGGTAAACATCTCATCCAAAGTGCACAAGGGACAAATACTAAGAATGGAATCAGAGCATTGACGATTACTACAATCAATTTCATCATGGTTGCACTACCTCCACCAACATGAAAATTTTTTATATTTAGCTTCTCACTGGCTTTATCGCTATGCATGCCAAAATGTCAACCAAAACAAAAGAGTTGTTCCAGTGGCACATCCAAAGACGCATACTCGAAAAACATTCCACAAAATTCGAGAATGCACACTGCCTCTGACTTCAGTCCAATTTACTTGAGTATATGTAGTAACTATTCATTCCAAGGTTTGCAAATCTCACTATGAGCCCACGGTTAATGCCCAGCGTTGTGTCAGCAGTGCCCTATCAAAGTGTTCCAAACTTTTTAGGAATTAATTATTAACTGTTGACCAGCAACTAACTGTTGAGTATATTATATATATATATATATATATATATATATAAATTTATATATTGCGATAGGGGAAAAAACAGAGAGACTATACTCTCATCCCCACAAGCCTGTTTCGTAATTACTCAGTCAACAGGCTTGTAGGGATAAAAGTATAGTCTCTCTCTGTCTTTTTCTCCTATCGCAATATACATCGCGCTCTACTCCTACGTATCGAGCATTGTAAAACGGAAAAATCAGTTTACAGACTTCATATATACATATATATATACATGATCAAAGAAGTAAAGAGGACACATCGATTCTCTGTGACTCTAAATTTCGCGCCTAAGCGCTCGTCAGACAGAACTTTGTTCAATGAAGAACATACCTCCTTAGATACAAATTAGATAAGTAGCTAATTAATTCACTAGTGTGATGATCTGATCTTCGTGTGAAATAAAGATTCTATAGAGCTATTGTTGGCGGCTTGTGAAATTTGCTAAGTAAAACTTATTCTCGTGGCGGCATTTAGAAATGAGTTCTGTTCTTTTGTTTAATAAAGACGGCTTCTTAGCTCTAACTAAGTTAAGATTACGATACAACGCCAACGTAACAACCGAAAGTGACACAACCGGAAAGAATTACATTGGACTAACAGAAGGAACTTTTAAACAACGTTTAACGTTTAGCCAAACCACACTACGAAAGTGCACTTAAACAAAGTGGTCATGAAAAAAAATTAATCTACACTGAACGCAAGAAACCTGTACCTCACACCGCACTGAACAGCCGCAAGAACAGACAAAGAAACATAATTTGGTTTAATCCACCCTACAGCATGAACGTACAAACAAAACATCGGCAGAGAGTTTCTGAACCTCGTCAGTAAACATTTCCGAAAAATCACCGGTACACAAAGATTTTCAATAAAAACAACATAAAGGTTATTTATAGCTGCACAGACAACCTACAAACCATAATAAAGAAACACAATAGAAAAATCCTCGAAACAAGCAAGACACCCTCCACGGAAAACAACTGTAATTGCAGGAAAAAAAACAACTGCCCTCTGAAAAGCAACTGCCTCACTTCAAGCGTCGTCTACAACGCCAACGTAACAATAAAAAGTGACACAACCGGAAAGAATTACATTGGACCATTAGAAGGAACTTTTAAACAACGTTACACGCAACACAAACTTTCTTTTCGGAAGAGAAACTATTCAAACAGCACGGAACTATCGAAACATATCTGGACACTCAAAGACAGCAACACCAATTCTACAGTTAACTGGAGTAATTTAGCGACCACCCCGGCCTATAGCAACAAAAGCAAGCGGTGCCACTCGTGCCGCACAGAAAAACTTTAAGTTTTAGTTAGAGCTAAGAAGCCCTCTTTATTAAACAAAAGAACAGAACTCATTTCTAAATGCCGCCACGAGAAGTTTTACTTAGCAAATTTCACAAGCTGCCAACAATAGTTCTAGAGAATCTTTATTTCACACGTAAATCAGATCATCACACTAATGAATGAATTAGCTCCTTATCTAATTTGTATATAAGGAGGTATGTTCTTCATTGAATAAAGTTCTGTCTGACGATCGCTTGGGCGCGAAACTCAGAGTCACAGAGAATCGATGCGTCCTCTTTAATTCTTTAGCTTATGTAGACTTAGCTCTGCTACCACAGCATTGAGCACTTTATGCCAAGGTAGACTCTACCCCGACATTTATATATATATATATATAAATATCTGAAAGTTGGACAAATCAATAGGACATAACTTTTCTGTGACTCTGAGTTTCACGCTTACGTGATCAGCAGGAAGATCACTAACCAAGACACTGATAGTCGGACTTTTCATCTTGAACGGCCTCGCAAACAAATACGGAACAAACAACATCGGACTCTACAGGGACGATGGAATTGCCATTTTCAAGAACACAACAGGACCCCAAGCAGAAAGAACACGGAAAGAAATAACAAGGCGTTTCAAAGAACACGGACTGAAAATAACAATCTAAAGCAACTTAAATTCAGTCGACTACCTCGATATCACACTCAACTTGACGAGCAGTCTCTTCCAACCGTACAGAAAACAGAACGACGAGCCGCTTTACATCAACGCAAAATCTAACCACCCACCCACTGTCATCAAACAAATACCCACACCATCAATCACAGATTATCAGCCTTATCATCTAACAAAGAAACATTCGACAAAGCCAAGCCTCTCTACGACAAAGCCCTCAGATCAAATGGATTCCACGCAAACCTTCACTACTACAAGACAAAACCACACCCACGAAAAGAAATGGAAAACGAAACGTCATCTCGTTTAAGCCCTATACAGCAAAAATGTCCAACCCAACGTAGCTAAAACCCTCCTCAATCTAATCAAGAAACACTTCCCACTAAACCAAAATCTGCACCCCGTCTTTATCAAGAACAACGTGAAAGTCAGCTACAGCTGGATGCCGAACATGGGCAGCATCATCAACAACCACAACAAGAAAATCCTCATCAACAACAACACCACACCGCTAAACGGACGCAACTGTAGAAAAAAAGACCAATGCCCGTTAGGAAACAACTGCCTCATCACCAGTGTAATCTACAAAGCCAACGTGACCACAGACAAAGACGACACAGGAGAGAACTACATCGGACTAACAGAAGGAACATTCAAACAACGATATACGCAACATAAACTACCATTCCGTAACAGAAATACGCCAACCACACCGAACTTGCAAAACACATCTGGAAACTTAAGGACATTAATGAAAACTACAAAATAAGCTGGTCTATCATCTCTTCAGCAAGCGCCTATAACAATATTTCCAAACGATGTAACCCTCTGCCTAACTGAAAAACTCCACATTATTAAAGCTGACAAAGCAAGGCATGACGGATATCGGGAATTATACAAAAGAGTGCGAGGATCCCCGAAAATTTAGCGACTTCTACAACATCGATATAAAACGACATTCATTATGCCAGCGTTTGTCGGGTAAGATCGTGGAAATTCATTCTGAACCCTTCTTCGATTTCACGAAGCTCTCGACATGGTACAGGAAAGAGCATCCAAAAAACGTATTCTACTGGAAAATGCACACTGCTCGCTTGTGGTTGCAGTTTTTATTCAGGGACACCTTTTAACTATTCGGATTATATATCGAAATTCATGCTCATTCCAAACTTTGAGTGTCAATTAACTCACAATAAATGCAATAACGTAAACAATTTGTCCAGCATTTCTTCAGCTAAAGCTTGTAAGGTTTATCAGCAATAACATTTAACAAAAACCTCATTGTTGCGTATAGCATTTAACGACGTGGGCTGATTACCACTTAAAGTGCGCAGTTATCCTCATTGAATCTTTGTGATAACCATTTACTATTTATCATTAAAATAGATAATTGTTCACCTTCACCTTCATACCCAATACCAATTATAGTACATGTTAGCAACAACTGGCTGCTTTACTCCCACTTTATGAGTAGGGTACTTTTTTTTGGTTGTTAGCTTCATAGTTAAGGGGACTTGAATTAGCACTAGGACACAACTAGTTTAAAAAGTCTATTTTCGAAGAGTATGTGGGAGAAACTGTTCCCGCCTATGGTGATAAGAGTTGTTTCCACAATTCTCGAACAAGAGCTTAATCCATGCCTGCATAAAGAATGTTGTCATAATGTTTCATGTTGATGAGCCTCTGCAAGGAAAAAGATAAAAAGAAAATCGATCAAATGACTTCTACATCAAGAGGTGACTAAGCCTTGTTTCAATTTATGATGTAAATATTTCACCTGATGTTGATTTTCCATTTCCTTCAAATCGTTCCTCAGATTCTCAAACATTGGGCGATCATCAGGATTCTCTTGCCAGCAGTCTTGCATTATCTTGTAACTAGAATAGAGAAAAAAAAACTTGCGCTATGGTCCTACGAAATTTAAAAGGTACTTCACAGTATATCCTGCACAGCTACATAAGTACGAAAGTTGGGATCCCCTATGCTTAGAAAGTTGAAGAATGTAGTGGTCAATAAATCGATAGCTTTTTTTTTTTTTTTAGGAATAAATTAAATTTTTTTTTTGGAATACCATTCTCATTTCGAAACAGCTATCGAGGTAATGAAAAAAATTCGAAACCTTACATATTAAGTTCATGAATAATCAAATAAATGAATACATCCATGGCCTTACAGGGTATCGCCCACGTGCCTTGGTTTAGGCATCCTGTAACCCTGAGTCAGTAAATCTGCCATTTTTCGTCCGTGAATCTTTGGATAAGGAGAGCCACCTAAAACGAGAGGTTAAACACGAAAACAACGAATCGATCAAAACGTGTGTCATCCATCTAAAATACATTGAAACACAATTATCTGACATACCTATGGTGAAGATTTCGTAAAGGACAATTCCAAAACTCCATCTGAGTAAAGAAAATGCCACCAGGCTTCATTGCAAGTTCACAGATACAGATATAATTATATTATAGGCCGAAGATGTTTAGATTTGAATTTTTTTAATAATTATTATTATTCAAAACTGTTTATCAACTTATTAGATCCACTTACACATCACTTTTCGTCGTATATCGTCCGTATAACAGCGCTTCACAAGCTGTCCATTTCACTGGCAGTCTTCCCTATTAAAACACGTTGAAATGAAATGATGACGAGAAAGAGCAATGATGCTTCATTTTGTTTATACACGCAGACTTTCTGGTGATGATGAGGTGTAAACCATTATTGAGAAACAAAGTGACAGGAGTTATTACCCAAACACGTAATATATCGACATATTGAAATCAGAAACCTTTGATTTTCTTTCGTAGATGTTTTCCTGGCATACGTCTCTTGCCATTCCAAAATCGGTTACCTTACATTGTTCTCGCTCTCCGACCAAGACGTTCCGGGCTGCAAGGTCGCGGTGAATAATCTGTCGAACATTATACAAAGCATTAATGAATAATTAAAAAGCGTCCCACGGAATATTATGTCTATCCTCTTCTGATCATTGATTTCAAGCCGTAGTGGACAGGGGCCGTTTTGAGATGCGAGACTAGACACTTTCCGAGCTGCGTCCACGAAAGAACACTCAGTTTTGAAAAAAAAACCTTAAAATGTTATTCTTTTATCAAACGTCTATCCCAGTAGAATCTTTCACTGTTTAAATATCATCAACCTTGAAAAATTAAAAAGAAAACGCTTCCTTGAAAATGGAGAGCTTTCTTGGAAATCTTTTTGTTTTACAAACAGCAACTCAGTTTGCGCTAGCGAACAGCGTTTAAAGATAAAACTTTCCTGTTTGCAACAAAAAAAAAGTGACTGATGCAATGGACGCTTTTGATCATTTCAAACAAAAAGCTTTTTCATCGCCGTAACTAAACCACATAGAAAAGATTCACCCAAAGTACTAAAAAAGTTCATACTTAAGTCACCTGCATCCAAGTATATTTTATCCACATGAAAATTTTAATTAAAATTGAAATGAATAAAGTATTCCTTACATCGACTGACGCCGAGACAGCAAAGTTATTCATATACTGAAATCAACTTACATTTTTAGACGACAAATAGTGCATGCCATCAGCCACTTGCCAGGAAAACTTCATCAGTTGCTGGGAAGTCAAACTCGTCTGTGGCTTAATATCCGGGTCCTTGAAGTAATTATCTTCTAATTGTCGGCTCTTTCTCAAATAGCCCAGGAGATCTCCATACGGGACATACTCGATAAGTACAAGCAAAGGATCTAAAAATAAATTTTTTTTCAACAAACAGAGCACATCGTTTACAGCGATGGAAAAACGGAAATATTTATAGTTGTGTCAAGGATATTCAAATTTCAAACCAGGATCTGCGGTAAACCGGATAGATAAGATTAAGTTAAAGGAATATAAGGGAGCTCGTAGCGATAAAAAAGTAATAATAACAATCTTTTACCATGTACATAGGTAACAAACGCCCTTTGTTAATGTTGTTAGGATCAGCAATAACGAGAATATGTGTGGCAAGAGAGAAAGAAATATGAATTCATTTGAAGTTCGGGCATTAAATTAAAATCATTACTTTGGTCGTCGGAGTGTACAATAATTACTTTAGTCGTCGCAGTGATAAAAGCACAAATAAACCAAGCAGTTTCAAAAATGTTATCTTCTGCACCTGATTCAGTGACGCATCCCAGCAACCTGATGACGTGAGGATGAGGCTTAAGTTTCTTCATGACTTCAAGTTCTGACAGCAAATCTTTTCTCTCTGTGTCTGTGGCGTTACCTAGAGCAAAGGACAACTGTCCAGTAACAGCTAAGCCTTACCTAAACTAAAACGCTTTTAAGACAATGAATATAGCACCTTTCAGCATTTTTATGGCAACTGTGATTGTCTCCTCTCTTCCACGAAGGTTTGAAGCTTTTCCTTGGGCGACTTGACCAAAGGCATCTTTTCCAATAACCTTTTCAATTGTTACATTTTCTCTTTCCACTTCCCATGAGCGCGTTCCTGGGTGCAGGGGAGCATATTCGTTTATTTCTAAATAACTTCGCGCTGGGTCCGTGGCAGGTTCATTCAGTGATTCAACTTCACTCAGGTCCATGTAATGTCCGGGACCATGATGCACCACGGTGCTAGGGTTCCCATTGAAGTTCTCAAGTTCAATTTCCGCGTTCTGTTTTCAAGCGAAAAGAGCTTCACACTTAGTCCTCCCATACAGACTGGCAACGAGTAAGAAAGAGGTCTCGTATTTCTTAGTGAAGTCTCATGCAAAATTTTATTGGGACCATTGTCCACGGTCCATGGTGTTGTACGTTTTTTCATTTTAATTCACTTGTTTTGCAGCCAAAAGAAAAAACCATACGCAATCGTAACTTGTCTTATCACAATTGGATAAAATCTTAAAGAACACTTGAATACTATGATGTCATCCTCTAAGCCTAATGCCCTTTCCTCGAGCACCTGCTAATCAATGCTAAGAAGATTTGAATCGTAAATACAACAACAATTCCTGGGAATTGTGGTTAAAGGTCGGCAAAGCGCATTTTAATGAACCTGATATATGATAGACTGCTATAAACTCATCTTCCTTGTGTTACTTCCTATGTGTCACCATTTTCTACAACTGGCTTACGATGTTGAAGTCCCCAAGAGCCTAGAAAGTAGATAGTAATACTCCTAGCCGCTTCGTGTTAAGGAAACCGGAGCTAAGCGCCGGCCCCATGGACCACTTGGGCCTGTATAAAGGCTTTACCTTTTTTACAGAGTAAGTTGTTCGAACAAAATGCATTCTATACTTACAAAGTGAGGCCTACGTGGTTTCTGAAGGACTGGATCGAGTCTAAAAGAAAAATAAAACATTATAAAAGTAGTTTCTAGGAAACTGTCTAAACCTCATAAACAAAATATTTGTTTTGTTTGTTTTTGTAAAATATCAACTGACACATATTGGTTTCTCATGCAAAGTAAAAACATCAAATCTGTTACACTCAGTTTTTTTCTCTTACCACTGCGTTTTTATTTCGCTTCATAAAACCAAATAAACTTCTGCTTAGAATAGAAACGTTTCACAAAACTATAAATACGACCAAAGTCTGTTTTCTACCAATCTGATCTACAGATGCTCTATTAACATTTTATGGTAATGACATCTTACCGATCATCTTTTTCAGCTAAGAAGGGTGGAAAGAAGGAAAGAAATTAAATCAGATACAGGAAAAACAGCTGCATTTATTATTTTAATATTCAAGAAGTCCTCATCAATTATGCCTCAAGTATTTCCAGTTCCTTCGCTTGTAAGTATTTCCAGTTAGTTGTAGCCGAGTAATGTAATATATTGAACGAAAGTAAACGTAAAGCTGGTAATTGGTGGCATGAATTGAAATACTTTGCGAGATTGTACTATGCTGCAAGTTGTCCCACTGATTGCTGTTTTGTCTTTCCTTTCTCCTTATCAGTTTCCATTCTATTCTTCACTTAAATCTCACTCTGCCAATCGGCCACAAATCATAAATCTCGGTTACTAGCATCTCGAATCAGAGCATTTACCAGCTGAATATAGTAATAAACTCTACTCACGTTTGCGGTGTTTCCAGGCAATGAAAATAATAGAAACAGCGAACATAAAGGCGAGGACCCCAATAACTGAGCCATAAATAGCATCTTTATTCACCTTTGCTGGTTCAGATGGAACTGGACGGGGAACAGTAACTGAATCTTAAATAAATGACATACATTTCACAGAAGCAATGCCTTTCTTAACTTTTTAGTTGAATTAATACGAGTTAAACCGATTTAAACCTCCTCCAAGAACTTTTCAAATCATAAATTTTTGCTACTGGATAGATATTTTCTATTTGATAAGGTTGTTATCTTGAATTTTTTTCTGAGAAAAGCGTTTCAAGGTTCAAGATCCTAGCCATGAAAGCTGTATTATGTTTTTTAATTTTCACTTGGAACTGGAAAGTGGAAATAATACTTGCAACAGTATTTTTAAAAAGATATATTTTGGTGATATAATATCACCGTCTGCAACACCGAGGCCAGGAGAGGCAATTTTTGTCACTGCGCTGAGCATTATTTTGCTATAGAAGATGTTGTTGTACATCGTGGCTTTATAGATCTAAAGGTTTAATCGTTTGTCTCAAGAGGTTAGTGCAGGCTAATCAATCGTGTATTGATCGCGACGCTTCGACTGTTCCACTACTACTCAGGCGACAAGGTTGAAAGTTTACGTGCAATGGGAGGGCGTTATTTACAAAATCACCAGTAAATGTGGCAAAGAATATATCGGAGGAACAGGGAGACGGAGAATTAAAGAACTTGAAAGAGATCTACAGGCCTGCTTGTTCTCAGAATCGGGTAGTTTCAGAACACGCCTTTGGAACAGGACCGGCTCCTGTTTGGGACCAGGTTAGACTTTATTGATTATGATTCTTAGTGTTACGCAAGTAAGGTTAAAGAAGTCGTCCACATAAGAATTCATCCTAATAACATCAATGGAGACGACGAGATCGAAATTCCTGAAGCATCGATGCTTATGATCAAAAAGCATAACAACCGATCTGTTACAAAGGGGACCTATAAAGGAACAACATCTAATAGTCATAATAATTATAAGTATCGAAATGAACCAATAAGAGCGCGCCATAGCATACCAATAATAACAAACTAAGGTGCCATCGCATATCGAAGACTCATTACAAGGAAGAAAAATTGTCATTCGTGAAGAACATGGCGAAAAGGATGATTTGCAATGTAGATTTGTTGATTTGGTATAAAACTATGAACCGATAACTGTAAAGTTACGCTAATAAGGATATGTTTACCGGGCAACTTGAACCGCACATGAATGCTTGCTGTCCTTGTTGCATTGCCACACTCGTTGCTGGCTTCACATTTGTATTCACCAGCTTGACTTCTGTTAATGTTTGTAAGCTCCAACATGTAACCACTGTGACGCTGACCATTAGGTGTCATCCAAGACACCACTGGGGGAGGTATTCCAGATACAGGACACAACAGAGTCACATTGTCACCTTCAGTTGCACTCTGATCTTGTAATGCAGGTATAGATGAAGGCACTGAGGTATGAAGCAGAACAAATAATTCTCATGCAGTGTACTTCTAAAGGTGTACTGTTCAACCACAGTCAAGCACAGATAGGATAAGTTCTAATACTATTTCAAATCGTACAAAGTTTGCGTCATGATCTAAATTGTAATTGTCTCTTCCCTTAATAACTTCATTTACGAATTTAGTGAATCTAGCAAATGGGTTTATAAATGCAGTCACCAACTACGCAGGCTACAGTTGTGCATTATACATCGATGACCAGAAATATTATCTCTTTTACCATGCTTTGGTTCTACGCCCTAAAATAATTGGATAACAATCATTGTTTTGATCAGCAAAATTTGATTAAGAGACTCTGGTAGCCTTAGTTGAACTGAAATGTATAAAGATAAGCATTACTGAAAAGGACATGATTTTACGTCGCAGTTTCTCCTTTTTTTCTATTAATTTCCTTTGAAAAGGAAAAAGATAACGTTCAAACGCTTTCCGCTGCTTATCACACCTTTAAATTCCCCACTCCTAACTTGACCCTTTATATGTCCTTAGTATACAAATGAACGACTTTGGTCTGATATACAGCGTAACTAACAGATTGATGTAGACTGATAAATGTACGCAGAGAAAATAAGCTTCACAGATTCAATAAACCGCTCAGTTAAGCGTACCATTCACTTCGACAATAACAGGTAAACTGTCTTCTGATCCTAAGTAGTTGATGGCCATACATTTGTACATGAACACTCCCCCAGTTGGCAGTTTCCTGTTCCACATTCCTGATGGGTTTGTGTCTAAGATTGCAGTTTCGTTCTCAAACAACTGATATGACGTCATGGATGGATTAGCATTAGCTGAGCAATTAAAGCTGATAATGTCACCCCGACAATTTTTACTAGTAAATGAAGATTTTTTTAAATCCACGATCTCTGGTTTGTCTAGAAGAATAACAAAAGATCAGAGTCCATAGAAAGAAGCAAATTCACTCAAGTTAAGTGCGTTCAGGTGTCATAAATTCAAACACATTTGTAAGGCAATGTAAAGAAGAACATTGATAGATCAACAGTAGATAAAATAAAATAAAAAAAAGATCGATCAAGTGAATTTCACGTAATTTGGATAGCTATTAAATGTACATAAGGTGTGATTGAGGTTGATAATCAACACTCAATTTAAATAACTTTATCCAACCAAAAACATGTGACTATGAATTTATATTTTTCAAAACTATTATCTCAGCGTTCACCGGCCAGTACATCAAAGGTACCTTTTTCAAAACAGCTGCGAAACATTCATTGAACAAACATAAAAGTGAGAAAAAAACTCGCCTACATTGGACATCGATATTGACTGTTTCTGTTTCGTTGCCACATTCACTATGGACCTCACATCTGTATTCTCCTGCTTCATTCCTGCTAATGTTTACAAGCTCCAGTACATTTTTATCTCCAGATTGACCATCAGGTTTGAACCAAGTTAGCCTTTGGAAGCTTTTTCCGTATGTTTGACAAGTGAAAGTCACATTTTCTCCTTCGGTGACTGACTTATTATCTATTGCTTGTACACCTTCATCATGAAAAAAATAGAGAATTGCTCCATATATTACGTCTCTCTTATTTTAAATGGAATAATGGTATGTTATAATCTCTTAAAGGCCTTATTGCAAACCAGTGAATCATGAAAGCAGCTACATCTATATCTTCTTAACAGCAAAATACTCGAGCAACTAATATGCGAATCTGTCGGCATGTGCCTAGCCTAAAAAATTGACGGAGAAGCTAGTATTTTTTAAAATTTGTTTAAGTGCAGCTCACTTGCGAGGATGATGTCTTTACTTGTACTTAATCCCTAATACTCATTTCGTTTCATTATGGAGAGGAAAATATTAGAGCTCTTTTCAATTGAGCACTTATGTCTTGATATAAAGACAAAAGAATCATTATCAGATGTCATGAGGGGTCGATGAAAGTTGAACTCATGACCTCTGCGACGCCGGTGCAGTGCTCTATCAACTCCTCCCGTTGAAATTTAGTAACATGTGCTTACCATTCACAGTAACTGTTACACTCATGCTGTACGCTGTTCCCGCAGAGTTCCTTGCCATGCATTTGTAATTAAATACACCTGGAATTGACATGTTCCTGCTCCACATTCCAAGACTGTTGCTGCCATTCCTTACAGACACACCATTTTCTAACAACTCATGTGTATCCACCGGAGGAATTCCATCTGCTGAACAGTTGAAGGTGACCACAGAACCCTTGCACACAGCTGATTTACTTACTGTGAAGTTGAACTTTTCTGGTTTATCTGTAAGATTTAAATCAGAAATTGAACGCCAAAGTTCACCGCATTGTAAACGTCACTCAGAGCTCTCCAAAATTGAGGGGAAAAAATTTTTATTACACTAATTTCATATTTTTACAACGATTTCCAGCCCTTCGGAAAGCCGTAACTGTACATAAACCTTTACAACACTGGGAACCAAAGCAATCATCATCCCCGGGGTTCCCCTCCCACCACGTCACCTACGTTTTACTTTAAGCTACCCTACATAGGCCATTTTTCTGCTATCACTCAAAAAAAGATTCGCCCTTTTATTTAGCGCTATTGCAATAACTTGGATATTAAGCTAGTTTTCTCTTCAGTCCTTCAAGATCGGCAACTTGTTTGGTATGAAAGACCCTGTCCCAGACGGGCCACGTTCACTTGTGGTTTATAGGTTTGTAGGCGCTGGCTGTAATACCTGTTACGTCGATGAAACGTGCCGGCATTTTTACACACGTGGTAGAGAGCACTTAGTCGGTGACACGATACCACACACTCCCCCTTTCGACCCTCAGGATTATAACTTGGTGTTAAATTCTGCTAAAGTGTCTTTATCAGAAATGGACACCAAAACGTTTTACGAAGCGCATATGTCTGATTTGCGTGAAACCCCCACAGCACAGTTGAGATATAACGAAATGTTTCACGATTCTGAGCTCGTGTGGAATAAGATCTACAGTTTGCCTTTCCAGGTCGCGTTAGATACATATACGAGAGATTTTCAGTACAAATCTTAAATAGAATATTACTTACTAGCTCTAAACTATTTAAGCTTAAACTGGTTGAGTCACCTTTATGCTCATTCTGTGATAAGAACGAGGAAACCCTTGAACATCTTTTTGTTTTTTGTGAACACTCTAGAGCCTTCTGGAAAGAAATCTCTAGTTGGTTACATGAATGCGGTATTGAAACGCTTCCTGATCTAACAGATCAAATTAATATTATGTTTGGCTTATTTGATGTCGATAATCACTTTATTAATATTTTTGTTTATTTATTTATTTATTATTTATTTACTGACCTTATACAATTTTATTTACTTTATACAGCTGTAATTTTTTTTTTTAATGTAAAACGGATAAACAAAATAAAATATAAAAAAAAAAAACTTAGTCGGTGACAGGGCCTCTCACATTTTCAAGCATCTACAAGATTCTGTACATTGTCGCCCTTTGTGATCAGCAGATAACTTCCATGTTTTAGATCACGCCTCTACCGGTTTTCAACTCAAGATGAAAGAGCTATTCATATTGAAAGAGAAAAACCATCCTTGAATCAACAATTACACCTTGTAAATCTAAAACTATCCCTGTAATTCTCATACTTTCATGCTTTACCTCTTTTCTTGTTGTCACTATTTATCATAATTATCATTGTTCTACTTACTATATAATTCAACTTCCAACGCTTTGTACAGTAATTAACTAAAGATGACAGAAGTTTCTGTCGAAACATGTATTACAGACTTAAAAGTTTTGTCTCTTTCTTTAAAATACATGACTGTACAAATTTACGATAACTTTTTACGTGTTTGATATTGCCAATCACCTGCCGACACGTCATTTGCCTTTCGCACCATTCTGTCATGGTAATGAATGACTGACAAGCATTCACAACTCTCAATCCAAGGTTGTTCCTCAAATTTTTTTTAACTATGGTTGCTAATAAAACTGAGATGTTAACATAAGAAACAAAATAATGCATGGTTTTTTATGGATATGAATTCCTCTCTTCATGTGAACATCGATATACCAAGTTGAACACTTAAAAAGAAATTCTATATCTAGTATTATTCTCTATTCAATTTCCAATGCAGTAAAACTGCAGCCCCCGAGAGCTTCTTACTCTTAATTTTAAAACAAGCTTGAGAAAAGAGAGAGGAATACCTCACAGCTCAAGAATCTAGCAACTCACACTTAGCAAAGAGTGGAAAATGGGCTAAGAGATGAACACTCCAGGCCTTAATGCATATTTTTACTCGATCACCATTAATATAAAATAATCACTTACAGAGAACAGTGAGGAAAGTGCTGGCAGAGCTATTTCCACAGTCATTTGTAGCTTCACATTTGTATTCACCAGCATTATACCTGCTGATGTTTGTAAGATAACGCATGACTCCAAAGGATTGGCTACGGCTGCTTATTTCTGTCCATGTTACAGTCAGCACAGGACTTCCAGAAACATTACAGGTTAAAGTCCTGTTTTCACCCTCTATCACTGTGATGTTCTCCAATGGATAAACTTTAGAGGGCACTGAGCAGAAAAAGAGATAACAAAAGATTACAAGTGTAAAACTACATGTTTATGAACCTACACACTCATCAAATTTTCATTTTTGTTCATGCATTTGCATCACGCAAAAGCATTCCCAAGAAATAAGGAAATTGTACAGTTTTAGCTCGTCTCATAAGAAGAAAATTATTCTTTAAGGGTTCACGGTTGGTACTTTTACTTGTACATCATTAGTTCCAGTAAAAAACAGAGAAAGGAATTCAAAGTAAATGTAATATCAAAATTTGTGCCTGTGACTTTTGAGATTACATGTAACTTATCCTAGGACTGAGACATGTTTTATTTTCCCTTTCCTTCATCAGGGTTTTCAGTAAGTACTGGCTTTCAACTAAATACACTGGCTTAGAAAAATGTGATTTCTGTGCAAGTACTGTACTGGCGCTGGGATTGGGAAAGCTGTGCACCATGGGAATATAGCATGCAAATGAAGGAAATGGCGTATAATTTAAACAAAAAAACCTCTAAAACAGGGCCTATGCTGCGCCCGAGCTGTTGCGAGTGAAAATACGTGTATCTTTTGGACTAAAATTTCAACAAAAGTCATCAATAGGCCACTTCCGAGTTCTCACGGTTCAGTGATCTAGAGCCAAAACTACCGCGCAAGAACGAGGCTAAGTGTGAAGTCGCTTTCATCCGTATAAGGAATAAAGTACCATGGTGGTGAAAACGAGTAAAAATTTCTCGAAATTCACTGTGGAAGAATGAAAAATTATTTGTGGGAGTGAGGCATTCAGCTAAGTGTTGGCGGCAAATGAAAAAAAGCAGAACTTTCCAATTTATGCAAGAAAGCTGCACACGTACGGTATCATTAGACTAACTAGAATTTCATGTGGCATAATATAGAATGTGGATGAGGTGACTAAATCTTTTTTTTTTTTTTTTTTGGGTGACCATTTTTCAATTGGGGCTCTGGATAGGATGGAGTCTAGACAGTCATCAATTTACAGTTGAAGAAACAGGATTGTTTCAAAAGAGTAAGAATATAAAAGCCTTGATAAGACGATACTGCAAAGTACTGTGATTGTTTTTCACCTAAAGTGGACAGGTGTTGAGTTTTTTTGATGTACATGAAAGTGACACGTAAATTGAACTATTACATTATAATGTAAACTACAAGAAACTGTGGAACTAATATACAATATCAAAAGCAACCTCACCAACAAAAATACTTATGTGTCGTTGCCACTTGAAGTTAAATACGCAATATGCAACATTACAGCTAATAGCTGTACCAGAATAACAACTACTTCTTACACTGTACCTTTAACAGTGAAATTTAAAGTCTTCTCAGCTGTACCAACAGTGTTATTAGCCACACAACTGTAGCTTAAGTCTTCTCCTTTTAAATATTTTCTTATCCATACCCCTGCTGAGCTGTTTCCATCATTAACTGGTATTTCATTCTCAAACAGTTGATAAGTATGCACTACAGGTTTACCATCTGCTGCGCAGGTGATAGTGATAACATCACCTTCACATACAACTGAGTCTTTCACCATTAACTTGAAATTCTCTGGTTTAACTGAAGAGAAGAAAACAACAACATCTAATCATGCATCAGAATCAGAGCTTGTGACCTGCATCATCATGTCGGACGAGCCAAACATTTTTCTGTCCAGACTAATGCCATAGGTGATTGATTGCTCCACCTTTCCTTTTTTTCTGACTTGCAGCTCCTTTTTAATATCATTTATTATCCTTAAATCTCACAACAGGACTTTTTTCAGGCCCTGCTTGCATCGTCACAGTGTATTTTAATAAAAGTGCCCACATTATTATACCACCCGTAAAAAAGCAAATCTTCACTTATCCTTTTTTTGTAGTTGACTTACACTTTTTTCCATTTTTAAGTTTTGTTTTGCTTTATTTTTACGTACTATACCAATAAATCCTACTTTCTATGAAAAATAAGGTACAATATACAATTATCTACGCACAATTAACTTCAACTTTCACTGTGCGATTTGGTGCAGTTCCTATTCCATTATGTGCTGTACAACGATATGTTCCACTGTTATCTCTGTTGTTTTCAAGGACAAACTGATTCCCAGTTACCAGTACACCACTGTCGCTTCCATTAGCATCTACTCTGGTCCAGGTGATGCCTGGTGTTGGTTCACCATCTGCGATACACTCTAAAGTAATACTGGGGTCACCTTCCACAACCACTACATCGTTACTTACGATGTTGAGTTCTGGTGGATCTGTTAAAGAATTAAAGACAAACAAACAACTCTGTACACTATCCGCGATATACTCCAACATGACACTAAGGCCACCTTCAACAACAACTATATCTCTATTGATTGAATTGAACTCTGGTGGATCTGTTCAGCAGTGATAAATTATCCCACATTCAAAATTTGCAAAATTTGAACCAATCTGCGTCAAAAGTCAGATAATAAAATCATAGTCGAAAATTTCACCAAAAAGTCAACGAGCTACGCTAATGCATTATTATGTGGTCTGAATGGGCGCCATTTTAAAATATCTGAGCAACTACCGCTTTCAATTCCTTGATCTTTGCAATTGTACTTATTGCAGGTTATTCAAATATGTGACAGGACTTTGTGCTGCTGTAAGATTTCTAGGTTGACTATAATAAAGACAGTTCTCCTGTGAGAGTAAGGCGGGCAAAAAAGAATTCATTACGTGCACACTCTCTTTTCTTAAATCTGCTCTTTGAAGCACGATTGAAATTACACAAAAAGAAACATCTACCTAACTGCAAGAATTTAAATATCGACGTTTCTCTCGTTTGAACACTGTTCCACATCGAATAAAGGGGGTAAGTTTCTAAAGAAACTATGGTGCTGCGTCGGTGGGAGAGAATAAGAAGGTATTTTAGTGTTATCAACTGAGTTGAAAACGCAAACTGACCACCGTAAAGAAATTAAGGGGTAACGTTTCGAGCGTCAGCCCTTCGTCACAGCGATTGGAGAAACTGTGGGTTGTGTGAGGCTTTATAGGTAGAAAATGGAGCTACGCTATTGGTGGGAATATGGTGATGAGAAAACAAGAATAAGTTAGTTGAATGAAAAGCGCTCGTTGATACCGTGGGGATTAAGAGTACCGATCTGGGGGACAAATTTTTGCTCTCAAGTTTTGCGACTTTTCGAACTGCCTAGATGTAGGGAAAAACCGCAAACTACCATGTCTTTTTTAGAATGATTAGGGAGATTAAAGCGACTGGTTTTAATGCGTCCTTGTTATTTCTTTCTACGTCGCGAAAAGTTGCCTATGTTTTTGTCACATTTGAATGAAATTAGTAGAGATTTCGAAAAGATAGTACTTTAGTGCTATATTCCTAAGCTACCTGGAAAATAGCAGCAGTTTGCGTCAAGAATGACCTTTAAGGAATGATTTTAAAAATTTTCAATAAACAGAACCAGTAGAGATACTATTCTTTTATAGCTTTTGGTGGTTTACTTACATTGCAGCAATTCTCGACTCCTTGCCGCATATTCGCTGAATATCGGCGCTAAAAAGTTTTTTTAAGCAATTCAGCGACACCTCGCGCTGCTTTATAAAGCATATCTTCCGAAGCTACACGGAAAATAGCAGCAGTTTGCGTAAAGAATAAATTAAATGAAATATCCAACAATGAAACGAGATTCATCTTTACGGAATTATTTCAAAATTTTTCAACAAATAGAACCAGTAGAGATGATATTCATGAAACTTTTGATGGTTTACTTACACTGTACTTGAACAGTCATTCCGTCAATAGCAGGGTCGAAATTACTGTCGATCACTTCGATTTCGTATTTCCCAAACTCAGATCTCTGCAATGCAAAGATCGTAATTTCTGCTCGTGTAGCATTGATGTTTTCTCGAACGCGACCCTTATAAAAACTCTTTGGAACCGATGCGTTGAGGTTTAGGTCATGTTTGACTACAATGTTGCGGGAGGGAGTGCTGCTGGCGAACCGAAAGATAACTCTGTCAAATGTTCCATCAAAGTTGTACTGCCACACGAAGGTGATATTGTCGCCTTCCAAAACATAGAACGGATTTGGAGGAGTTACCGTAAATGTTGGTGCTAATTCTACAAACAAAACAAAAAAATTATGTGAACAGCACAGATACTTTAACCAATTTAGTAATATGACCCAACAGCCCAGCGCGAAGCTGTTTTTCCCACGAAGAGAAACGCTCGGTCAGTAAAGATGAACTTGTGTACCTACCTGCCTTACGAATAAACAAAACCAAGCATAAGAATTTGGACACGTTAGATATGACTGAAAACATTGCAATTTCCGCGCCGTGAAGGCGAACCGCGCTTCAAGATGCGACGGCACGGAAGTAAAGGAATAATATGCAAACTTTCAATTTAGGGGCCCACGAACTGTAACCAGCGGCTACATCGCGTTTGCTTCTTCCGCCTTCACCCTTCACGTCTCATCACCCATTAGATATAAAACATGAGGGAAGTTGGGTCTGTTTGGAGGGTGCGAAACATGCGTAAGAGTTCAGTGCCCGAGGCGTAACCGAATACAATAGCCTAGCTTCTTGGATCATGAGAGGACGGATATGGCTTTTACTGCAAGTATCATCTCCCGCAGCGTTATTTCCCCGGATCTGTTGGAAATGTGTGAAAGCATGTCAAACTGTAGGGGATCAACTTATCATCGCTAGTTATTGGGGTCCTGGTTAGTGTTGTAATGCGACTCCATAACCTTTCAAACTATAGAGATCAATGTGTCATCGCTCGTGAATGGAGTCCTGGTTAATTTTATGAATGTCGTAATATGATTCTTTAATCTTAATAGAATACTCCATTCTTTTGCCTGTTGTCCTGTTGTCTTAACCGGCTTTCAACCACAAGTTGTTTGTTAGTGGTAGGATGGCATGTTCTTTCTACGACATATTTGTGGGTATGCAGCTATCCCGTATGGTGAATAACTAAAAGCGCTTTCCAGTAGCCTGTTGGTAAACGGCTTTCTCCCAGATCTTCACGGTCAATTGATTTCGTGGGCGTATCGAAATATCGAGCCAGACACCCTTAACGCATGCGTACTTGTCTTCAATTATTCTGTCAAAAATACCATTTACATTTCGACCATGTCTAATCAGCACGACTTATTTAATATGAGAGGAACTAGCACTGTGAGAAATGTTAACTTGTAGAGGTGAGTCAGTGAATATTGCCTCCCACCTTTAGATTTTTAGCGCGAACATAGCTTACATACACGGATACACAGGATGGGTACGAGATGAGAGATGAATATACAAAAATGTTTCAGGGATGAGGCCTTCTGTGCCACTTGGCGCGAAGAAGTTAGGTGAAGGTGAAGTTGCCACAATGAAACTTAATAATTGAAAGAAAATGTTAACTAACATACCTTGGTTTTTCAATCATTAATTTTAAGAGAAGGCTTTGGCTTTGGCTTGTGAAAATGCTTGCAAATAGATCATAAATTTTAGAAAAAGGGAAAAGTCTCTGCTTAAGCTCAAAGCCTAAATGCTGACTCCTAGGTTCAAGCTGGCAGTGTCCTAATACAAAGTTTTTTGAGCCACAGCATCCTTGTTTTATTCCTAAGTTAATTTTTGGCCTTTGCTAGTGGACTGCAAGAGTTATTGTTACAATAGCAAACAGAAACTGGCAAAAAGATGAGTCATCTTGGCAGTCCTGTTGATAAAAGATGTGACATCTTCACAACAGGAATACTGATGTGCTAAAGTAACAATGGAAACAGAATGTTATCTTGCATATGCCTAATTCTTCTATTCTTGATTATTTTCTTCTTCCTTTCTTTCCCAATATTTCAACTACAAGAAGACTTAGGCTCAAATAATTTATTATACCATTTTTGCCTACATTTATGTCATTCTAGATCTCACAGTGAACACTAATTTAATAGGGAACACAGTTGTGTGGCAGATGATAATGATCAAATGAATAAGTCTACTGAATTCATTTAAAAGTACTATGTTTACACACTAGATGGACAGTACCATTGACACAGATAAGTCTCAAAACAGGTCAAAGCCTATCATTTGGTCAGATAGAAACACACCCAAACTACTGTGTCATGCACCAGGTCTGTTAGTAAGAGCTATTCTTCAGGGTTCTGATATTCAAAATTACACCAGAGTTAAGATAGTGTGCACTTATTTCTAAGAACTCAGAAAACAACACACCAGAACAGATGGGTTCTCAAGGCAACCCACCCAGTTTTAACTTTGTTTATTTACTTTTAGATATGTAAACAAGTTATACTTGGTTTTACTTCCAATTGGTCAAGAAATTGGCATTAATGTCTAACAATGGAAAGCCAATATGATGATAATTAGTTATTATTACAGAAAACTATACCATAAAATTTGACACTTCAAGTTACTGAAAACAACTCATACTTCATAATATGGGATTAAAACAAACATGCTGGTACACATTTTGCAATTTATTTTCCAATTGTATACCTGGCCATCCATCCAACATTGTGGCCTTTCTGTGCTGCTGGAACTGTTTTTGTGATAAATTTTTTTTGTTTTTAATTTACTGTGGTGTGACTTTCCCTAATCCCACTGCTAACTGTGGAAGAGGGCAGACTAATACAGAGGGTTTCCACCAGCAGCCTACATGCAGTTTTCTTTTTGTTTGACATAAATAGCATAATAATAACATAATTTGTCATAAATAGCTCCTTAGATAACTGAAAGAATATTGCCAATTTCAGCAGTTCATAAAATTTGGGTATTACACATAATCTGTAAAAATCATGTTCTTTGTTTCACTCTGCCTGTCTCATATAAAACCAAACTTCAGAAGTTAGGTTCTGGGACCCAGAGCCACCATCTTGGATTACATATTAACATTGTTTGATTTGAGACTACAATGAAGAAAGCCTTTGGAGTGAATGTGAGCGAGAGCATCTGTGATATCATGACAAATGATCAGCCAGTCTTTGCTTGTTAGTGAACTGTTAACTTTCTCTAATATACCATTGGATTCTTTGCAATACAATAGTTTACTGACTGTTGCGGATGTATTTTCTTCCCCTTTGAACTCCATCACTAGAGATATAGGCTCTCTTTCAAGCTGGATTCCTATTATTGCAGGAATGTTTTTGTGTGTGAGAGTCTACATGATTTGTGCCTCCTTTACCATCTCTTTAGTGCTTTGCATCAGACATTGTTTTTCTACCACAAGAACGTTTAATCTTTTGAAAGATTTTAAAATGCACCAGCCATATGAACCCTGTCCTAGTATTAATTCCTTTTCACTGATTGGTTGAAGCTCAGATGGATCAATTAAATTAACAGTGGCAAATTTGCTACTGGGTGGTCCTGATTTTGTATTCCTGTCTCTAATCTGGAATAAAGTAATAAACAGAGGAAAAGTGAAGCTGGTCAGCGTAATAAGATTCACATGCTAGATTGTGTAATAAGTGGTAATAGGACTGAGTAGTCTTTGGTCTGTAATCTATGAGTGATAACAAAATCTGATGACTGCATAGTGGAAGTACAATTTGTTTAAATCAGTGTGATTACAGACCGAAACAAATGACACAAAGTCCTTTTACCAATTAATCATAAAAATTACAATTTCCAAATTAAAAAGAACACTTAAATATTGTCATTGCTCAAGGGAAACCAATTCTCTGTTTTAAAGAAAGCCCCAATTTAGGAATCTGTACACTGTTTCTATGGTGATTGAAACCAAGGTTGTGATTGATTGATTTAAACCACAACTTTGAATGTGATTGGTTGACTTAAACTACAACTTTGAATGTATTTGGCTTATTGAACTGTCCAACAACAACTTGGCAAGTGAATTAGTGGAAAATAGGAGTTTTTAAAACTAATCACAATCGAGGAAATTGTCATTCCTATGTTAATAGATTTATTGATAAACTTTATCCCTTTCATATAATACAAACAGAACTTTCCAAAATTCCCTGACTATTAAGGTACTGACCTATCCATGATAAAAATAAAATTTCCCTGATGAAATGGATACAAAATGTCCAGTCTCCTCTTCTTCATTAAAACATTGCTGAGATCATCTGAAATATTTCTTCCAGCATGGTATGAAACTCAGTGGTGTAAAAACTTTAATTTCCCTGACTTTTCCCTGACCTTGAAATTTCTATCCCTAGCCATTTTTTGATCTGTGGTAACCTTGGTAGGGCAAGATCAACACTACATGGCAAGATGGAAGGGAAAATGCTCAAAGCTCAATGACTGTCCTTTTCAGACGAAAGTTTAGCCTGTCTGCTTGGCAAACAGAAATGAATGAATTCCCGCTAGATCATTTCAGAATGAGGCAATTTCAAATGGGGATTCCTTGCCTTATTTTACGAAAATGATTGTAGTTTTTTTTTCATTTCATCATAAAAAGGAGAAGAATTTTGAGGGCTACACTCTCCCCTCCCCCTATGAGTTTATGTTGAAGTCAACCCCAGGACGTTTTGTACAATGCAAGACAATGCTAGTTTGATTACGTTCAGCGTCAGTTCGGTGATATCGTTTTTTTTGTATCGTATTTTTTGTAACCAACTGCTCATTTTCTGATATCTGTTTTATTCTATTTTGACGCTAACCGAGTACCTACCTTGGTTTTGTCCAGGGTCTTTTTATTCTGTTCGACTAATGCTTTCCATTTGCTATAATACATTCGCGCCAAGAATATGCATCTCTTTCCTTTTGTGTTCTCATTTCTCTGTTCTCCCTTTCCCTAGTTGTCCTTGACAATCGTTCACGTTTCCTCCTTTGATTTCGCATGCTGCGTTTTTCTTCGATTGTACTTTCCCGAGATCGTCGTGGCATGATTACTTTGCCAAGCACGCGCCAAGCGCGCGCTTTTTGTTGGCGATCGTCTTCGGTACTCGATTCCCTGTGGCTGAGTTTGTGCCCGCGTTTCCATACTGATATAATGTTGTAGAAAATTCTAGTGGACAGCGGCCTATCTCAACGCGATAAAACGATAAAAATTAACCGGAAAGCTTTGTTCGCAGTGAATGTACAACTACGAAGAATTAATGTGGATGAAACAGGGTACAAGGTTTATGCAAGGACTACCAGAAAAAAAAAAGCAGTTGAAATCCTCCAAGTGTAAAGTTTTTTTAAATGTAAAATGCATTTTCCACGCGTTTCAATATCACCCGACCTGCCACAGACTTCTGATCAGATTTATTTATTATTCCCTCATCGGTAGTAGTATATCCTGTGCCAATTACGTAAGTGGAAGTCATGTTTACTGACAAAGTTTGACAAGCGATGACGTGTCATTGATGCCTAACATT